TTTATTTATTCAAAGTATACCTCTCTGATTTCATTTACAGGAAGAAAAAAAGAAGTTTGACAAGCAAACTGAGAAATTTTGTTTAACTGTTCAAAATTATCTAAACATGTCGTCAAAGAAAAAAGAAACACAGCTTAAAGAGGTATTGAGGTATTTTGAAGTCTTACATTCCCCAGTTGATGGAAGTAATTTTCTTGGTGCCTGTTGCTGTTTATAAGGTTGTACATTCCCCAGTTGACTGGGATACCTGTGGTTTATAAGGCATGCATATTCTCTTGCTAAAAGGTGTTACATTCCCCAGTTGACTAGGATACCTGTGGTTTATAAGGCATGCATATTCTCTTGCTAAAAGGTGTTCCATTCACCAGTTGAATGGGATACCTGTGGTTATGAGGTCCTTTATATTCTCTTAGTACCTGTTGCTAAAAAGTGTACAATTCCCCAGTTGAATGGGATACCTGTGGTTATGAGGTCCTGCATATTCTCTTAGTACCTGTTACTAAAAAGGTATTGTACCATTCTCCAGTTAGGAGGGATACCTGTGGTTATAAGGTCATGTAGATGTTAAATGAACTCTTGACTACCCATTGTTGGGATCTGACTAAGGACCCAGTTTGATTGGCTCCAATATTCTTAGATCATGACATTTATATTATCATGGTCTACGCTACAACATAGCCTGTTCACGATACCTTATTTTGAAATGACATTCACACTGTTCTTATCCTCTGATAGGCAGACTCACAACTGGAATATGAGCGGGGTGTATTCCACCAGACAGCTCTGGATTATGTCTTTAAACTACAAGAAGTTAATGAAACAAAGAAGTTCCAGTTCGTTGAAACAGTAAGTTCTTTCAATTCTTATCAAATTTTCAGTTCTCTATCTGAATTAAAGAATACACTAGACTTAACATGCAATTTTTATATTTTAAAGCAATGAAATCTTGATTTCTAACCTTCTATCAACAAGAGCACTCTAGCATGAAAAAGGTCCTGCCTTTGCTTTAAAAGATATCTGCAAATGGTTAGACCTTTGCCGTGGCTTGGATGACCAGATAAAATACCAGTCCCWTCTGATTTAGAGGTGTTACACACTGAGCCACAACGATATCATTTGGTTCTTTCAAGTGTCACCTCCAAAAKAAAGTTCATTTACTATTATATTCTTCAAGATTATTGAACCAAAGTAATGTTGTTTTTTTTTGCAGCTATTATCTTTTATGTATGTACAAATGACTTTTTTTCACAGTGGTAAGTCACAACTTACAAAATCCTCTTCTAATTAATATTACACCCATTTAATTATTAATGTCTTAATCCTTTTTGCATAATAAGCATACATTACAATACTCACTTGCATCATAAATTATTCTAATCAGTTTGTTATTTTTATTACTTTTTTGGGGGATTGTAGTGTATGTTAGTATTAAGTTATATTTTGTGTTGACAACATTAACAGGCCATGAAGCCTATAAAGATTATATGGAATACATGACAGATTTGCAATTAAGGCTTCAAAATGTAAGTATAAAAGATGTAATTGGTGGCTCTAGTGTTGTTTGATAGCCTATACATGGTGAGTATTGACAGGGAATAGAAGCCAAGGAAGCTAGGAGGCTATAGCTCTCCCCACTTTTTGAGAAATGATTTTTCATATAAATTTACTTTTTGTAATAATGCTAAAATACTCACAATTTTAAAACTAAAATTCTTATAATCAAAAATAAGAGAGAAACATGACCCATACCAGGCACGTGCTTTCTTTTTTTTTAATGCAACCTTATTTTCATTTTAGCCCCCCGGTAAAAAATTATGCTCCTATGTCCTCCTATAATGATAGTTGTGTTATTCATTGTGTTTTGCAGACTAGGGACAGATTTAGTGCGACCAAGGAACAGGCTGAAACACTAATGAACAAAGTACAGCAGGTAAGTTTAAGAGAATCCCTGCTCAGTAATACTGTAGTATTTTTCTTCAGTCATTCTTGGTGGATAATAGTTATTGTATTTCCAAATTCCATTTCTAAGATCTAGAGATTTTGAATATGGTATCAAATGTACACCTTACTGAAAAAATGTTGTTGGGTTCAAAAAAAGATTATATCATCAAAGCTAAGACCAAAGGGGAGCATGGGAAGACAAACGATTAATTATCAGTATGCTAATTTCATGCGTATTGCAGATTTCCCTTCCTGTGCACATTTTATGCATCATGGCTTTGGCATGTTGTTAATCTAGAATGACTGGATTTGCTCTAGTGTGCATTTTTACATGTCTATATGCAAATATAATACACATTTTGGGGTACCTAAAATYCTTTTCGGTCTTACCTTCGATGATATGACCTTCTTGAACCCAACTAGGTGTATGATAATCTTAGGTGTGTTGTTAATCTTAGAAAATAATAGTCCCCTTCACAGTTCCCTGTGCCATCTTGAAAGGTAGCCATGCCTTTTCATGGAAGGGAATCGAACAGTGAGCCTGGTGTGAGAGACCTTTTTTAACACCTTGGACAATTATTCACATGTCTCACCGTTCGTCTCACTTCAATGCAAAGGCTACCTTTCAAGATGGCACAGGAAACTGTGAAGGGGACTATTGTAGCTATAAGTTAAATTTCTATTATACTTATTATTGATAATTTTAGAAAGCAAAGAGTGGGGAACTTCACCATCAAGGAGCACACACACGACAAGGCTACCTTAATGTACAGGAGAAAAGAAAAGGTACAGAGAATGTTGTTTATACTAGTATGTGTTAGATTGCCAGGAAAAGATTGGGCTCTCCTCTCAGGAATCAAAGGTGGCATATAGTAGAAGTACACTCACCTTTGGGGTCTTGGGATTGATTCCCAGACTCTGCATCACATGTGAGAAGAGTTTGTTAGGTCTCTCCCTTGATTCAAGGGTTTTTCTCCTGTGTCTAAATTGGGTTTGATTCCTGGACTCTGCATCACATGTGAGTAGAGTTTGTTAGGTCTCTCCCTTGATTCAAGGGTTTTTCTCTGGGTTCTCTGGTTTTACTTTCTCTACAAAACCTAACATGTGAGCTAACTGTGTCGTGAATTTGATCAGGTTAGCTTAATTATTACAACATAATCTTCTTTTTTCATACTTCCCAATATATTTATATATCACACCTAAACCCCTTGCGGCATGTATAATTATATTCTGGTAGCAGCTTAATTCAGTGGAAATGATATAATGAGTCTTGATCTCCTGAGAAATGTATAGTTCTATGAATTGCACTGGGAATATTGTTGTTTGGTGTCTGTAAAAAATTATAATTTTATACCTTTTTCTAAATTCTAGGTGGCCTAGGATACACATGGACAAAGCACTACTGCTACTACACCAAAGAAAATAAAATATTAACTATGATACCATATGTACAGACCCAGGGCAGAATGGTAGGTATCCATAGCAACCACTTA